TGATTCGTCTTGTCTTGACTCTTCCAGTTTCAACAGCAACTACAGAACGTGCATTTTCAACTATGAGTGTCATTAAGACAAGGTTGCGTCACAGAATGGAAGATGATTTTTTGTCCAATACTATGCTTGTGTATATAGAGAATGAGATTATTAATACTTTTCCATTAGATTCTCTTATTGACGAGTTTGAAGTGAAGATGACAAGGAGAGACCAATTTCAGATGTTCAAGCCATCTCTACCATCTGTTATATAGATAGGCAGTTTATTTTTCAGGGGCCCTGCCCCCCTCCAAGCCATCTCTACCATTTCGGGGGCCCTGCCCCCCTCTAGCCCTCGTATTTTCGCCCCCGCAAGATTGAATTCCTGGTTACGTCCCTGTGCCATACCATGGACTTCCAACTTCATCAACAAAACTCGATCTACAGTTGAAACTCTCTAGAGTCTTCATCTTGCACATCGTAGAGATGCTGAATTAAAGCAAAACTAGTAATACATTTATAGCAAGTTTCTCGTCAAGGAATGAATAGTACTGGACAGCATTGAGAAACATGCATTTAATGACAATAATTTGAACCACAATTACTTTCTGACTAAGCAAAATAATACACCTTTGCCAAAAGATCAAATCATTCAACTTTCTGACTTCCTATATTGCCAAGGCCTTTCGAATTTATGTTCTCAATTTCATCAAGACGCGCCTTCAAAACATCTATGGTGTTCGTCAAATTGGAGATGAGTTGTCCAGTTTTCCGGTTTCCTTGTGATTCTACATCAGCAACAGTCATCAAGTCCCCATTCTTCTGTAAAAAGTCACCAAATACACCTTCTGAATTAAAATGCTCATCCAGGGCAACCCAGCAATACATTTTATTATCGACCAAATAAGGTGTTGTGTAAGATTCCTTCTTTCCATGATGATCAGCTTCAAAGCTCTTCTCAAACATCATTGCATTGTAGAATCCAGCCCAATCTTTCTTAAATTCCACTATCGCATATCTACACTGCTGCTTTTCCCACAGTAATCGAACCCGTACTGGATTAAACCCTTTCTCGGCCAGATCATTCCTAAGCCTCTAACTACTTACATCTAGATAAACCCCATCCCTGCATTATACATCAACATTGGCCCGAATCCCCATCCAAGGCCATATAAACAAGTCATGTACAGCACCATATGTGGGAAGTTCAATAGCTAATCCAGCAAATTCTGACGATATATCTTCCCCACCAATATCCTTATTCAAGTACTTCACAAGGCTTAAGTGCTTCCCCTTGTCTTTGGTTTCTCTGTTCATTGAGCCTCTGCCAACATCAGAGGCATGTCGAAGAAGGTCCTTAAAATGATAGACCAGCTTCTTCTTTCCTGGGCAGTAAGGGCACCTGTATAATTTATCTGAATATTGAACCTTCTTAGGGGCATTCTTCAATTGTTCATAGCATCGATTCACGTACTCATCTAACTCAGATTCCGTGGGCTTTTAGTGGTTCACTTAGACTATTGGGCTAGTGCTATTTGTAACATTTGTATTATTGCTTATTCTTTACTTAACTGATTAAGTGTCACTCACTTATTGGTAGCTTGGTAGTCACACGGATTGTGATATTTTAGAATTGATTGTGGCCCTTGGATGAGATCGACGGTTGGGATTTATTCTTGTGAGATATTTTCTCTTGGGCTTCGACTTTTGAGCTTTTTTTTTGTTCCTTCCTTGAGACTTCTCTTCTTTTCTCTCTCTGTTGGTCTGTTTCTCTCTCTATTGAGTCCGTCTCTTCTTCCAGTGTTCACTGTCTTCTTTAGCCTGTTGTTGAGAGAACCTTGTATATTATTCAGGCTTGAAATAGTAGCT